TACAATGAACATAACAAGAAGCATAAGAAGCATAGGGTTGTCCACCAAACTCTATTCTAGATGCCTCTTAATTCCCTAGGTCTCTACTAAAACATACATTGTTAATTAGTTTCTAACCAACTAGTTCGACCAGAGTTTATGCCGCTTATATAAAAAAAGCATTCTGAAATATCAATACCCCATATACTTTTTCCGTTTCTCAAACGTTTTATATTTAAGTAGTCTGATTTCAATTCGTCCCACGTCCGTCATTCATGTTAGGAAACAAGTTATTTCCATCGGTCATTAACGGTTTAGTATACAAGACCTGTCCGATGACAGCGCGCTATGCTTTTCTCAAGAAAAGCAACATAGAAAAAGGGCAATAATTGTGCAAACATACACATGCTTAGTAGACCTACCTGCTCTTAAAAGTGAACAAATATTGTAAGTTTGAAGTGAATACTTTCAACCGTTGTTTGAAAAAAGCAAACATTCCAAATTGATAAAAGGGAATAATTAATGAATGATGGCTGTCAGATTTGTCGGCCCCTTAAAATGCATTTCAAACTTGGTGGTGAACAAGCATTCCAATTTAATGTGAATCTATGATACATTTTGACATACGAGTACGTACCTTAAGAGATATTTAACCAAGAAAAGAGAGAGAGAGAGAGAACTGAGAGGGAAAATAAATTATAAAGTAACATGCCCTTTAGAAAAGCGTTCTTTTGAAATATAACAAGTTTTCCACGTTTGTGGAAGTTTGATAGTTTTTTTTCAATTGACCCTAGAAACAACAAGTTATAAACTTTTGGGGAAAAAAAGAATACATGTATTAAGATTATTTCAGGCATATCACTGCGAAAAATATACTGATATACGGGAATATACGGTCCCGTATTTTTTACATATACGGGCGTGTACGGGATGTATTCGTCGAATATACGGACCAAGTATACGAGTCCGTATAGAGAACACCGGGTATACGGGAAGTCCGTATATGCATCAGGCATATACGGAATTCCGTATTTGCCCCATATACATGTACGTATATTTGTTCGTACTTTTAAAGTATACGGAGAATAAAACCCCGTATACGGACTATATTAAGGTTGCTATCCCTAGTATACTATAAATATACCAAGGATATACCGGACCGTATTTTCTACATATACAGAGGATATACGGACTCGTATTTTCTACGTATACAGAGGATATACGGAACCGTATATTCTTACATATACAGAGGATATACGGACTCGTATTTTCCACATATACAGATGATATACGGAATCGTATTTTTTTACATATACAGACGATATACGGAATGGTATTTTCTACATATACAGGGGATATACGGAATCGTATTTTCAATATATACAGGGGATATACAGAATTGCATTTTTTAGTTGTAAACAGGGAATACAGAACTGTATTTCCTTGATAAAAGAAGATACAGATACTATCAAAAGCATGCATTTACATATAAGTGACACGTATACATGGCCAAAATGCAGACTTGTACAATAGAACATGTTTTATTACACATTTTGAATGGGAACTGTAAAGTCATATGCTTAAGAACGTTATCTTCACAATTGGAGTATTTCAAATAATAAAGTAAAAACCAAATCGAGTCACTCTTAAATATTTATTACTTCATAAACATATATTCAATATGTATACATATATTAAACAAAATAAACATGTCTTCGCTACAACAGTCATATATTGTTGCAAGCCTTATTCCCGAGGGACAAATTAATGTAGCGTTGCAACGGAACGGCGATATACCGGTATGAATAGAATAGAATAGAATAATGTTTTATTACCAATCATGGGCCTTCTCAGGCATATAATTACATAAAATATCAGTACATTAAATGTACATAAACAAAACAATAATAAGATAACATAAGCTAATTCTGATTTGATAACACAATTAACAAAGGACTAGTAACTATATGTATTCAACAAAGGCATTTTAAATGACAACACATAAAAGAAATAGAATTTATAAAAAACCTCAACAATAACTAACCCGCAATATCTTTTGAGATGCACATTGACAAAGACTTACTAATGATGTTAATAAATAACATGATGCGATACAGAATCATGAAATACGTATCACAGTAGAGAAAATCCGCACTGCGATATTTTCTTTAGAGATCGAGTTATACATGTACATGTTTCGATATTTTCAAGCCGTAACCTTTATGAACTGCATGTTGTTTAAATGTAGAACAAACTATACCAACTTGAAGCTCGATTCTATTTATCTTAACAATGATTTTTATGAGCCACTTGTATTACACCCATAAAATATTTTAAAGATATTAATATCATTTGTTCGTGTTAAACTTCACATATTATTTTAGGAAAATGAGTCCATAGCACAAATTGATTATTACAGAAAGTTTTAATAATAATCATTAAAACTAAAAATCCGTATTCACAGAAATTCGTCATTCAAACACAGTTCTTAAAAGCACTTAAATATATCAATCATCTATAGGAATGTTACGTAGACCAGTGTGACGGTGTCTATTTCGTGACGTAAAAAATGTTATCTCCAGATATTACAATCTTCTTCAGCATGTGTGTATCTGAAAAAGAGAGTTCAAAAATACTGTTTAAATAGTGTCGTGAAATAGTTATCACAACTTTCAAAAAGACTATACAGAAGCATTTTTTAAGCGTATACATATATACATTTTTTTTTCTAACGCAAATTTCAAAATTATTTTATATTATTAGGATAAAGATGTCATTTATAAGCAACCATTTACACAGGATTTAAATGAAATGATTTAATCTATGATGGGTGATAAGTTATGTGTTTTTGTTAAAAAACCTTTACGAATATATTTATTTCACACCTGTAATATAAATGATAATGGTATCTTTGTTCTATGTAAAGAGTGTTTTATTGATTAAAAATATATTAATACAAAATAACATTGTATTGGGAAAAAGTTAGTAGGAGTCAATTCGTTTGAAAAAAAGGCTTAAAAAGTACAGATATTTGTTACTCAGATGTAGATCCGTGTTTGCACAATGATATCCAGTTAAGTAAAAGGCGGAATACTCAGCTATACTTCTCATTTATATAAAAAACACGTTAATCTTAACAAATTTGGATTATTGTTTGTTTCAATTTCAATTGTTTCAAAAACTATCTCAGCAACGAATGAATACCTTCAATAAACAATAGTGTAGATTAATATTTTTTTATTGTTAAGACTGTTTAACTAGGTAAGTTGACAATAGAATCTCTTACAGTGTGCCATCTCTAAAAATAAAGTGATAATTCTCACGAAATATAAATCAAAATATCCTCCCTTGCCTATAGCATTAATCTGATAGTATGAAATCAAATTCAGATAATAAAATATAGTATACGTATTATATGTGACAATTGCATAAAATAACATAGGAAATATTTTAGTTAATACATGCGAATGCGACTATTACGTGCGCACGTGAAACATTTACGTATCAACGCAAAAAAGTAAGACAACTTGTGAGGCTCGAACTTGTGATAAAATTTAATGTGTATGACATTCTAACTTTTCCATCAAGACATTTCAAATTCTGTTTCTAATCTGACATTATATTCGCTTTGAAAACCCTGTTTTACCTATTAAGACAAATGTTGTTAACTTTAGTGTACATGTACAAAAGAAAATGTAACGTCACTCTCACATTATCAAAGCGGCGTACTTATCGCTTTACGCACGTAGTAACTAAAATAATTACTATCATTAACATATATAAAAGTGATTAAACTGTAAAGAAATACATATTTTTTGATACAGTAATATGTTTAAGAAAAGAAAACTAATTTAATAAAATAAAGTCGCATGCACAGTGCATCTATATCAAACCATTGTGTGTGTTCGAGTTAATTCTTACATTTTATATATTTATGACAATTATTAATTAATGTATTGTTATATTAGGAAAGACCGTGCTTTTCTAAAAATAAAAAAAAAACAAAGTAATGACTAGGTTAGAACATTTCCAGCCGTTTATTTATCATTTATGTATATTATTTACAAAACCAGTAACACAAATAAATATGCATGTACACACGTTACATTGAAATAACAATACATAGAATACGCAGACACTATCTCTCTCTTTATATACATGTATGTAATAACTACAATATTTACAATATATACACTTTTTGAAACTGTATTTTTGTATTTCTTATTGATAATCTTTTTCCCAATTATACATTTCCTTGTCTGTTTGATCAACGGAATTGTCATGATCAGGTGTTGCTTGATCTGAAGGAGCGTCACTGCAAATACTACAACTGAACTGTACAATACGTGCCATGTAATAATCGAGTCTACTGATACCTGCAAAATACAAATTTTTCATCTTATAACAAAATTAAAAAAATAAAGTTATGTTTTATTGATAATACATGTATATACCGTTCTAATGACCGGTAATCGGATTAGTATCCGCACGCGCCGGTGTTAATTGTTAATCCAATTACGTGTCACTGAATAAACACAATTCAATTCAATTCAATTATTTTATTAGCATATAAACATAAACATGTTCATCGCCATACATTCAATTGCGGCGGTTACATACAACATGAGAAGAGCATGAGTATTAATACATCTATATCATGTATGACCGATAATTTGATTATTTAACGGCACGCGCCGGTGTTTATACTATCACGTGTCACTGATTAAACATTTACATGTATGACATTAAACCAGCACACGGGAGATGTATGATGAAAATTTATGTAAGTCATTTTCATTTTTGTGGTCAAAATATCTATGAAAGTGATTAAATGTGTATTAAAAATATAATCTTATTATTTAATTATTTTTATTGGATACAGTTTAACTGCTGATTCTAATTTTCACCGTTACGAATTTTAATTGTTTTAGTAGTGAGTCATATATATTTTTTGTAAATAACTGACAGAACAAGTCAATAAATATATCTTCAACTATATCATTTACCTAAAAGTTGTGCATTGTTTAAAAAGGAAAAAACTGTGTAGCATCTGATTTTATTTTTTGATTTTGGTATATTTTTCATAGTTTTCAAATAGATGTTATTCGTTTTTTTTGTCATTTTCGCGACAAAAACAATGAAAAACACAAGGCAATGTGCCAGAAAACCAGAAGGTGGACATGTACATTTAATTTATTGCTGTGTGATATGTATAATTATGTTAATTATTAAAAAATGCATTTATTTCAGGTGTGTGATTACGGACTTTGGTTAGTGTTTTGTTTTCATTGTGACACACTGCCAGTCAGTTGCTTGCCGAGACTCTTTGACCCATAGTATGAGTATGAAAATAATAACAAGGGAAATAAATAAATAAATAAATAAATAAATAAATTTGAATGACTCAATGTAAAAAGGGTAACTGTAAAGGGTCAAAACTAAGTAAGGGTTTAACATAAGGTAAGGTCAAAGTCATGTACTTTTGTAAGTAAAAGAAAATTCAATTTTGTCCAAGCGAAAAGCGCTGTATACTTTTTAACAAACGGAACAGAAAACTGTTACGAAGACTCTAAAAACAGTCCATTGTAGATTGACCAGGTATTTGATTAATGTTTTTATAAGTAGGATGTCGATATGACAAAAATATATATTTATCAACTGTGTTAAGATAAAAAGTTGATAAATGTGAAAAGGTAACAGTATTGAAAAAGGAATAATTGATCACCAAAACAGAAAAATGTATTAAAGGTCCTTTATGGTGTATTTGAGGTTGAAACCACACTTAAGTGAAATTTTATGTATGTATATAATAATGCTTGTAAAACAATTTTAAATTACCGAAGATTATGTAAAATATGTACTGCAAATATTTGTCCAAATCATATGTAATCGTTAAAATATTTGCATTCATGTCTTATTGAAACATTTGACTTAGACTTTATAGAAAATAAATTTCTTATTACCTCCCTTTATTTACACGAAATGTAAATTCGGTAATATCTTTACAAATAATGCTTTTTGAAACTTACAATATTGATTAATCTTCATTTGAGTATTATGCTCATACAACAATTGAGTTACAGGATCTTTCTTGCATATCAGACTGGCGTTTCCGTAAGTTTTACCCATGCCGGAAATTTCATCTGGCATGGGGGGTTCCAGATGAGTCGCGTGCTGTACAATGGCACGCTTTGGATGACGTCATTTTACCGTTATGTATGAAGTTGTAATTCATACGCTGTTGTAAGAAAGTAGTTACGGTTGTAATGATATAAATTTTCATTGAAAATAAAGATAAAGAATTTAAAATATAATGGAATATGGTAGAATATGCAAGAAAAAACATCTGACATATGTTTGCGGTTCGGATCGGAATATCCGTCCCTCGGACACCCGCCCATGGGCGGTAACTCGGCAAGCCTCGTTACCGCCCAATGGGCGGGTCACCTCGGGACGGATATTCCGATCCGAACCGCAAAATATGACAGATTATATTATTAAAACATATACTTTTATGATTAACGCGTAACAACTAATATCGGAAAAACCGATTTGTTCATTAGAGTGAGAAGTGTGCATGATTTTGTTAGAAAGAAAAACGGTATTTTGAGAAAGGAATGTTATTATAATTGAAATATTTAATATTGTGAACATTGTTTTTAGTCAAAACAAAAGCTGACAAAAGAACAAACACATAGACAGGCAGTATGAAAGCGAAGAACAGCAAATAGTGTATAGCGCCATTGAAACATTCAAAAATTAACATGAAATGCAGAAATGTACAGATAAATAGAATAAATGTGGGAACGAATGATAAAAAACAACTATTTTCCAAATTTCTACTTACAAACAATGTAAACCTGTTATAAATTATGTCAAATATTTGCTGGTCATGCTTTAATTATAGAATCTAATTTCATTCCGATAAAAACACTTTAGAATTCTTTAAAATTCTCGGAAGTCACCGGAAGAAAGACATCAGATTTTATTTTAAAACATCATTTTCAGACACCAGCATTGTTTCAAACAGGGATAAATGAATTAACTATTTAAGACTGAGACTTCTGTTACGGAACGAAAATTCAATCATCAGAGGACAAGCACAAACAACTAATAAAAGGTAAGGCTATTAACCCTTTTGACAAAACAAATTCAGCGACGTAGATTTTTATTAGATATCTTTTTAACTTAGTGCCGATTCAGAACGTAAACTTGACTTATAACAATGCCATTTGAATACCAAAAAAACTTTGTTAAATGCAAGTAATTCATTTCAGAATATGATAAAATTTTCAAGCAACATAAAGATCACCTTGAAATAATGTTTATGCTCAATTTCTTCCTTTGTTTTGTGCAATTTGTGATTAGTAAATATTGAAATTAAGATAACATCAACTTTCAATAATATCTCAGATTTGCCAAAGACACTTATCTCGTTTAAGGTAATGGTTATCCAGAGTATCTGGTAATATACTGGTATATAAGACATATATTTTTACAAAGGCCAGCTATGACAGGAAATCATGCACAAACTTTTCAAACATATCTCATATGAATTTTATACAATAAGTGCTTAGCAAGCCTTCATAATGTTTGTCTTCAATATAAGACGCTTATTTCATTTCAAAAATGATTTTCATTTATACAGTTTGAGGTGTCATTTTAAAAATATAGACATCAGATTTTATACGATACGTTGTGCTTAGTAAACAGTATTGTTGCGAAAAATCGAAATAAATAAGTATATTTGACTATTTCAGTCTTGATACTAAGATTAAACACGATTTGACGGAACACACACACACTCAACTAGTTAAGGGAAGTGTTGTGCTCCTTTTGCCGAAGATACCGGTGTCACATGAATTATGAATTTTATTAATTTTAAACGTTTGATTATAATGAAAAAGAGTGCAATAAAAGCAAATCAGTACACGTATTTTTGTATCATCAATGTCATAAGGATATTAATATCATGATAGAATATTGTTGTTGTGACCGAAATAATGTTATTGAAACTAACACTGTGGAAATAAAAAAAGCAAGATATATAAAGGGGCAAAATTCCATCAGCCTAATTAGACAACTCGTAGACTCATCATTTAATAAATGTATGGATGAGTCAATTTGCATACATGGTAAATTAATTCACAATCATTCGGTTGTTAGTAATCTTGTTAAGCAGTCATGTGGAAACAAAAATAAACAGTAAATATCATATTATAAGACATAGTGTAAATTGATGAGAAATTATGAAGTATTCCAAAAAAAAAACTGTTTCCTTGTTGATTATGTCCGTACAAATATATCTTTGTGAAAATATCATCGTATAATGCAAATCCTTAGTAGTAAAGCACAAGGATTTTTAAACATTCGATTTTTGTATTTACAGTTTAAGACAAAATACTCGGAGATTTTCGAAAGAGGAAAGCACCTGTCAATACGAATACGAAATGCAATAAGGGATCACTGCTTTTTCCATCAATGGCGCAAATTAGAGCATCTGCATCGCAGTTAAAGGCATCTACATGGCCATCTAGGGCATGTCCTGTAACTACAGTATCTCAATGGTCAGCTGAAACCCTGCCTATGATACATACACCTGCGCAAAAGGCACCTTCATTACCGACGGACATGGGGAAACAGTCGTTGGAGCAACATTTCCACCTGGCAAATGAACAAGGTAATGTATAACCAATACTAAGTGTCAAAGCTATGTTAGTTATATCAATAGCGTCATACAACAGGACAACGTAGGAGCAATATACAAGTTAAATGTTGATGCTGCACATCAAAGACACCGCCAAATGATGTGAACAGTCAATCAGCATTGAAAATCTTTCCCTATTACAGTTGAATGTCCGAAGTACAAATCATTTTTGTCTCCATGTTCTTGGTATGTGCTCGTTGTTTAATAATTAAGTTGCATATTTTTGTAAAAAAAAGTAGAACCTCATGCATAAATTTATAAAGTAATGCCATGTCTGAAATTCTGAAATGGTTTTTTGTTGCGACAAGGACTGAAACGTCAAGTCGAGGAAAATAAATTAGATATTAAATAACAAGTAAAATTGAAATGATTGGTAACCTTAAAATAAATTCAAGACATTATATGCGAAAATATGTCCATTTAAATATTGGTACGAATTGCATAATGTTCGAATGATTTTGAGGACGAACTGTTCTGCAGTGATCTCGGCTTACTGGCCGAAGCGTAACCGGTGCGCAGAGTTTGGCGTTCTTTCTCAACTCCTGAGGGAGAACCGACTCTTTGATAGAGGGCTTCGTTTAGGTTTAGGTTTTGTAATTTGTAATTTAATGATTCGACAAGTATTATTGATCAAAGTTGTCCTGGTTTCCTCCTCCCCTCCCATCAACGAAGACTAAATGCTAGCATACGTACGGAGCATCATATTAAATTTTGCGACAATTTAAGGCGGAGCCGAATTTCAACAGAAGTGGAGCAAATGAAGTGAGTGACACTGCCTCAGTCGTTACCTGTCTCAACGGTAAAGTTTTGGAACGATCGACTAAAGACTGGCCCATTGGCACGTTATTTATAATGTAGATAAAATTAGATAATGATAAAAAGAATATGATATTCAACCATTTCACTATCACTTCAGTTAAACGTTTATTCTAATCCATTAAAGCTCTGTGACATGTTGTACATTAGAAGACCTATCTTTATTGGAAAATTTGAAAACAGTGTGATTTTGTTAAAACAAAAAAAAATACACACAAAATCAAGTCTAAAACATACCCCATTGCTGTATAGACAAATGCATCACTACTAGACGCCGCGTGCAGCGCGGCGCCCAATGATAAACAAGATTAACCAGGAAGGGCGGCGTTCAATAACGCAACCCACACACGACACAGCAAAACGACAAAATGTGTCATAATTTGGGCAAGGAAATTGTAATGGCTTCATGAAATTACATAAAAGAATTGCTAAATAATGAAAACCGAATCCCTAAAGGACAAAATTAAAAATATTGCAGGCTCGGTTTGATTGAGCCTGTTCATGAACGGTAGTGGTAATTGCAAGCCCTTAGCACCGGCTTTGATAGTATTCAACATTTAAACATGTAAAGTGAATGAATGCGTTTGCCCGAAACGACAAAACAATGGGCGGAACTTGAATGATGATCAGAGGTTTTGAACTCTGCATATCAAAGATAAAACCATAAAAGACAAATTTAAAAAGACAGGGTAGTTTATGCCAGTCCATGACAAGTGGCGTATGACAAGACGCACTTTTTCACAAAAACACGATATATTTAATAAGACAAAATAACGATATTTTAATAGGCTTCTGCAAAATTATCGTGTCAGTGAGTAAAAATATTATCCGCGCCTTATAATTGCCGTGTCGTCGTGCCTTAGCCTAAAAGGCCCGTGGCAAAAACATGATAATCGGGTAATTTATCATTTCTCCGACTTTCGGTGTTAAGACACGCTGACATGAAGATTTGATTAAAGGGTGTTGCGTTCATTGAACGCCGCCTTTCCTTGTTGATCTTGTTTATCATATTTTTTTCGACTGTCGAGAATCTTTTACTGCTCCATTATCATTTTAGGCTAACTGTTTCTTAACTAAGGTATTACAGATGATGATTATATATGGTACACATTTTATATATACATGTACATAATTACAATATTGAAACGATATGCACTCTAGATATGCTCGCGAATTGAACTTAATGTTACACAGAAATGTATATCAAGGTCTTCAAAATTAGTCATTTATTTATGTGTGTGTTAACGCTTTATGGTTTTTGATTTTACATGGCAACATCTACTAACCGTTGTTTTATATATGTCGTAATTCTATCAAGATAATGTTTCATTTCGGGTAGAACTACAATTAGATAATAAATTGCTCTGTTGATAATTGAGAAGGTTTGATTGGAAATCCTAATCCAACAATAGACCAGCAGAAAGTAAAAGAAAATGGGCATATGGTGCATGACGTCAGTGAGGAAGATCAAACATTTGATCAACAGTCAGAAAATGCTGATAGAGCAGAAAATGGAAAAACCCAAAACGGTAAGAAAATGGTATATATATATTACAGGCTGTCAACCAGGTCTTATCCAAAATAAAGGAGGAATATATGAATATTTTAGCAGGAAATATAGGAGTTTTTGGACCATTTTGAGGCAAAAAAATAGGAGTTTTCAACTTAAATTGTTTAACTTACCAATGCTTATATAAATGTAATTATTCCTACTTTTACACATGCTGTTTCTACAATAAAATGTCTACCGTATAAGTGAAGGAAACCATTAGCATGCTGTCCAGCACCTTCCGACATAAGATTAGGGCGAATTTTAGATAATATTTTAGAAATTTTAGGGCTAAAATTAGGAATTTTAGGGTACGTAATAGAAATTTTAGGGCTAAAATTTGCAATTTTATGACTAAATAAACTAAGGTCCCAAAAGACCATGATGTGGGCTAACCTTTGCATATTTGACACATAAGTAACTCACAAATAATGCTCTAGTTTAGTTTGAGCAAAGGTGCTACCAGTGTGGACTCACTGGTCAACTGCCTCCCCTGCGGAAATGGTCATAGTCAAATCATGTTCAAACCATATTTTTTAAAATGGCTGAACATGTCAAAAAGAACATGTTCTATCTATGTTTTGGGAAAGTTAATTTTTTATAACCACAAGTGTCTAAAAGGAATTCTTATACAGTGAAATTCTTGCACAATGCAGCTTTTGAATATGGACAAATGAAATTTTTTGTAAAAGTAGGTAAAAAGTAAAAAGGCATTTGCCTTAGTACAGTCATTTGAACAAATGGGAAGCATCTATAATCAACACAAAGAATTGCACATCAAAAAAGTTCACCACACAGACCATTCGATTGCAGTTTATCTAGATCAATAAAATTATAAAGCTCATTTCCAATTACAATGTACACACATTTTGCAATTACAAATCTATTTATTTTTTTAAAAAGTTACTCACATGAAGATTCAAAAAATTGACAAATGGAGGTTGCGTTCATTGATCGCCGCCATTACTTTACACGTAGCGAGAATTAATCTAAATCTTTGTTTTGTTTGTTTTTGTTTTGTTTTTTGTTTATGGTCTTGATTATCGAATTTATGTATGCATGCGTAGAATTTTTCATATTATAATGATATTTGAACGATCAGAATTTAAGCATTTAAATTCAATTAGCTAACATTCTACGCGGTCTGTATAGTATTATCCCACATATACGTCACATCCGGTAAGAAAAGTAACTCTTTTCCGACGCTTATGACGCTTAAATGAACGTGTCTATAAATGAAATTCTTTAAAAAAGGATTATCATAGTTACCCATTATAAATAAATATGATGAATAAAAAATTCATTATTTTCAGAAGTTCTTCTGTAGTATTATAAAAGGGGCTTAAAACAAAAAAAAAGAAGAAAAAAACATTTCACATGAGTCTCAAACCTTAAACTGCTTGCAAAGGTAAACATCCTATATATACGTCACAAGCAAATCTATTTTAAAGCAGAAATACTCTTGCTATGAAAATAGTATAATTATATAAAAACAAAACAGTTGAATGGTCCCTATTTGGTTTAATTTAAAAAAAACAACATGTAAAATGTGTTTTTTTATTATTTCATTGTCGCTCTCCGCTTAACATCATAATACTAGGGGACGCTTCCAAATTTCCATATCAAAAAACCTAAAGGACGGTATAGACGCAGACAATTAAGGAAATAAAGAGTTCACGCGGTGTTTAAAGAACAAAATATTTTTGAGAAACGTTTACTAAATTGTTTTTTGTTTCATTTTTTTCCATATAGGAAAACGTTGTCAGAACATCGACAAAAGTGACAAAAATCCTGAGTGAGTTTTTTTTTTAAATAATTTATTTGAGATTGCTTTTGTTTATGAACATTTGTAGCATTTGTAGCAAACTTGTTGTAATATAACAATTAAAAAAAGGATATTCTAATTTGAACAATATTTATAAAATGAACGTTCAAGAAGTTCTGATAAAATGTTGCTTTTAAGTAAAGAAAAGGTAAAAGTGTTATTTTATACTATTATAGATATTTATTTGTTGACGTGAATGAAGTGGTGCATTATAAAGTACCCTTAAAAAGGTTGCCAAGAATACATCGTCTACAGGGTTGTGTGGGAACTCTTACGAGTTATTGTGAAGGCATTGAAAATAAAATAGGACTTCCTAATATGGGAGATACAGGTATGGAACATCGGGAATATATTGATATTTTCAGCCAGGACAATACCTTTGAGAGGAATATGCTCATCGAGGATCTTGATTATACAAATACTGAAATGTACCGGATCGCAACTAGGAAACGTGATGTTGCTAGAAGCAAAGAAGTTGTTGGAATTTTTGTGAATTCCGAAGGTATTCAATTTGTTGAATCAGTTACTGACAGTACTATTTTTGTATACTCTGACTCTCATATCGAAAAAGAAGAGGACTACGAAAACGCGATAGGTAGTTTGATGGAAGTCATCATAATGAGACCATTGATCGGCAAAATTGCACTTTTTCATAGACTACGGAGCATCACTCATGCTGAAGGAAATGCTAAAGACTTCTCTGCAGCTTCTCTTATAAGGGAATTTCCGGATCTCTATCCTGATCCGTCTTTTTCGTTGCAAACAGCAAATGAGACAACCGGTTCAGGTAATGCTTCTTAAATCGAATGATATTCGTTAGTCATGACAACCAAATGTTTCATTCGTCTTCTGTCATTTTACCAATATTTCAAAATAAACCAAATATATTTCACAAATATAACCAAACATTAAATTAAATGATATCGATTAAGAAAAATGCCTTGTAATAACCTGCATGCTTACTAATCAATTGTGATTGATCGTGAGAAGATAAAAGCAAAGTTTCTAGCCATGATAAATAACGATATAGTCATAAATTATTCATACTCAGAAGCAGTAATGCAACCGTTTTACTAATCAAGTGTACAGGATACTATTTTACTCTTTTCTACTATTTGTTTGTTTGCGCTTTAAGAATAAGTATCTTATTGACTTGCAATTGTTTTTTAAAAATGTACAAATATAAATCTTTTCATGCTAGATCATTCTCATCGTCATATATATTAAACATTTAATCTTTTCGAAGACGTATTCTATCAAAGCATCAACAAAAATAAAACCAGCATTGAAAGGTTGTTAGGTGAAATGATCGCACTGTCTAAAAGAAGCAATCTCCCTGAAGAAATTAAGCCTGTTTTTGAAGAGTACCAGACACCAATTGTTCCTGAAGAAGTACGATATTTTTACATTTTTATGTCCTTAATTACACTTAAACAAAGAAGAGATTTTTGTTAAACTATAATACCAGATTTCAAACTTGAATTGTATGCAAGCAAACATCTTGGTGTTTTCTCTAATAATGAGATATCAATTTCAATACATTCGTATGTGAAAATATGAACTTAGATTGTATAACAAAAGACTTCAGACGAAGGCACAGATGGATTCGTTTTTTGTCCAAAATAAATTAATACATTCACCGATTCATTTAGATTCGTAAGTTAATTTACATTAATAACTAATTGTATTTGTAAACATTCGTAGAATGAACATGCAAGCTATTAAACGTCACAAATGACATCAATTTTATCATTTACTATGTACAGATTTCTGTACTTATTTCATTTCTGATTTTAGGTAGCAAAAGACCTTTTCAAATTAGACGAAGCCATTACATGGTGTGGATTTCGATACCGCACATTTCATATATATATTAAGCAAACCTCAAATGAATCAGAGGAAAGGGAACTTGCAAAGAAAATTTCCAAATTTGTAGCAACACATGGCATTAAGAAATATAACCTTATTTATATTAATGGCGATTTGGAAGAATACAGCTACATAGGTTCGATGATACGTCCTAAAATTCAAAAGGCCAAAGAAGCTCCAAGCAAAGCTGAATGTAAAGCACAAGGGGAAGCCAAAGGGGAAAAACGGGACCATTGTGCAACTTTGGGATGTTTTGCATCACGCAATTGCTCTTCTGTTTGCGCACTGATTTCAAAGCACGTTGTAGTACATTTCGGAAACGAAATATTTGATAAGGATAAAAGGCTTTTGGGGAGAGTGATACCAGAAACAGGGCATCAAGGAGATTATGACATCGCTGCCGCAGAGATAATTGATGAACGACTGCTCAATTTAGATACCAGCTTTAGAAATTATGATGGTGAAATAATACGTGCCAGTCTAGGTGAAATAGACGAAACTATGCAGGTAAGAGTTTATTGTTTGATAATCAAGTATGTCCGTAATTTAGAAATGAATGTTTTTTTTAGCATTTGCATGTCTATATGTAAACGATTCTGATCGACCGTGTTCATACTTAAAAGTTTAATGAAATGGTATCATTATCAAAATATGAAATTTTAATTATTTATCCTCTGCGTAATTACTTAAGTATCGTTTCACAATTAAAAGGATATTAAGTGCATATGAAAATCAACGACTACTTTAGAATTAAAAAAAAATCGAGTTAAGCAAAATATGTTTATGTTAGGTCAGTAATTTAAACGTTACGGTCACTGTTAGAATCATTGCTGGTTGATTTACTTGTTCTTTTGTCATTCGTTGTTTTCCTTTCTACCAAAATTCTGTATGATATCTAAACATCTTAACTGAATGACAGCTCTGACTGTTAACGACCCTTGATACTTTAGAGTATGAATAGTTTTATTTTGGTGCTCTTATCAAATTAAAGAAAATAACATATGGTTTAAAGCCAATACTGAGCAGATAAATGGTATATAAATATTTAATGGATTGCAATTTGTTTTGAAAATGTTAAGCATTAATAATTGAAGACTATTTTGATCAATAGCTGTCTTATTGTGAATGTGATAATTGTCAGCAAAAGACCCCTTTACATGTTTTGATAAAAAGAAATCAAATCATAAAGAAATATATGTCCCATTATTGTTTAAAGAAAGAAAGATCGCATAATACAAACTGTTAATTATAAAAACGAATGGACAAGAATAACAAATAGCAAGACTGCGTGGACTTAATTGGTTGTGTAAACAATGTTATATTTAACACTCTTTTTTTATCATTTATCAAAATACCTTTCTGTGTTTCATAGTATTTTAATCGAAGGTCACTATTGGTTTTACATTCTTTACTGACATTTGCTTCATTTAGAAGTTAAAAGAATATGCATTTCAAGCTTTCAATTTGTGTGCCTAATTCAAACTTATATATCATTAAGGTTAAAGCCCAAATGTATTCTGTAATTTGTTTTCTCTTTTGACTAGACTGATACAAATTTGGTTTCTGTGTGTGTCTTTTAGATTACCTTAATTAAAATTGGATTTAAGTAAACCAATAAAATAGTTCTGTATAAGGTTTATTATTCAGTCACGCAGGTTTTTTTTTTTATTTCATTCAAAATCAATTACTTTCATACCCACCAGGATCATGCTGTTTATCTAAGAGGAGCAAAGACTAAATTAGGCGTAGGAACAATAGAAATACCAATCTTTTTAAAGAAGGGTGTAAAATACCACACAAAAGTACAACCTGGAAGCTACTTACTTAAGAAACCAGATGGAAGATTAGCTGAAGAAGGAGATAGCGGTTCAATACTTTGTTATGATGACCTTGATCAAAATGTTCGTGTTTGTTCAATGCTTATCGGCAAGTGTGGTGAAGAAGAATCCTACTGTTTTTTACCATTGTCACATGGTTTGGAACAGTTAAGCCAAAAAACAAACGATGAGTTTAAGCTTATAACTCACATGGAAAACTCTCCTGCGCAAATTCACGCAGTAGGAGACTGTTTGCAAGCATCAGGGTCATGTAAATACCTAACATAGTGATCATAAATTAAAACAAAACATATCGCGAGTTTAGACAAATTATGTCTGGGATTATTATGTTGATGCTGTTTTACAATGGACTACTTGTTAGCTCTCCTGAGCATTAATTGCTTAGATGTGGGATTTTGTGATAAAGTCGTCGTATGCCGTCGTAGATATCAAACATATTCTTTGAACAACTTCTCTCCTTATAGCACAATTTCTATTTGATAGCCCTCTACAAAGTTTATTAAAATGCTTTAAGTAGGTCAAAATAGCTTGAAATAAATTTTAAAGTGAATTATTAAAAACCATTCAGGAACATATACATTGTGACTTCATTACCTTCTCTTTTATAAAAGAAAAGATGTTATCCTAAACATTAAATTTACCAAATGCTAAGTGCAACACAACTATTTTCAAGTGTTTAAGTTTGTTTGTACATAAATATTAGCTGGGTGAGGGGAAACAAATATTCGTATTTCTGGAGTAAAAAAGTAGATCCCTCGGAAGCAATAAAACAACAATAGGGCGTGATAATTGCCATGGTTTAATGACAAGTGTGAAGTTAAACGGAATGATTTTTATCTATTTTTAAATCGTTAAATGAACTATGAAACGAATTCATGAAGTATGCGCAAGGAGCCGGTAATATTTTTGTTTGTATGCATTTTAAAAGAATGTATTCGTGATAGCAATCTCCAATAATGTCACGAGCGTCTAGAAAATCCAATTCGTGCAAGTTTTTTTTTTATGCCCCCACAATGTGGGAGCATATAGCGTTGCACTTGTCCGTCCGTCCGTCAGTCCGTCCGTCCGTACGTCCCGAAATCTTGTGAACGCAACTCCTCTTAAACCGGATGGCAGATTTTGCTTAAACTTACAGGGATGAACAACCTTAATGTGTAGATGGTAGTAAAGGAAGGAATTTTTGCTGCAGCCAAATTTAACAGAATTATTGCCCTTTGTTGATTTTTTCATTATATACTATGTAGAAATTTTGTGAACGCAACTCCTCTTAAACCGGATGGCAGATTTTGCTTAAACTTCCAGGGATTAACAACCTTAATGTGTAGATGGTAGTAAAGGAAGGAATTTTTGACCTAGAACTCATAAGATTGACAGAACAGTGGCGTGTGGGGGCATCCGTGTCCTATGGACACATTTCTAGTTTAGAGATGTAAATGATTTTGACTTTAATTTTTTTCTTAAATGCTTAAACATTAAGACATTTTGAATAGCTGTAACTAGATAAATAATGTATTTATATAATCTAGCAGATGCCATCGAACCGCCTCCGTGGTCGAGGGGTTAGAGTCGATGACTTCTAATCCAGTTACCTCTCTGGCGTGGGTTCGATCCCCGGGAGATGCTTTGGTAGTTTAGCGCGGAGGAAGGTAGTCTAGTACTGGTGTAACTCTCCAGGAACGATGGTTAGGAAACTACCCGCCTATGTGACTGAAATACTGTCGGGAAAAGGCGTAAAATGAAACAAACAAACAAACAAACAGATGCCGTCGACAGATACGTTTTCTGTTAGTAGTTGTGAAGTGTACTTCTTGTAATGAAATTGAAGATGAGTTTCATTTCATTTTAAAATGTGTATGTTTTGAAGATTTATGTAAGCATTATATCAAGAAGCATTTTTAATTTCTTAGTATGATTATTGTTCAATAGTTTGAAATTAGAAACGCTTTGAGTTACGCATAATATGTCAAGGTGTTTATGTATGATAAGCTTGTGAAAAACCAGTCTATCCGTTAAGTGAAATAGCTTTTGAATTTCTAACTGTTCTAAGACATTGTTTCACTGACGAAATAATATTTTATTATTGTCTGTTTTTCGTGTCTGTTCCTTTTTTATTTCATTGTGTCGCGCAGAGTAGCTCGCTGTTATTGTTTATGTTCATATATGTATGTGCACATGAATCTTTGACCTTTTGAAGTTCAAAATAATTTCTCCTCCTTAAAAAAGAATAATATTTATTTGATAATTAAGAATAATCTGATTTCTGCATGACATAATCTCTTTGACATTCATAATAAAATAGCTATTTTTTCCAATTGTTAATGCCGCTATTTAAAGTTACATTTAATAAATTTCATAAAAAAAGAAATAGTGACTATAGTAGTATTTCATTAATAAATTGGGTTTATATCGACTCCATATCTTTTTTTCGGTGCCCAGACAACGAAAATGAGTTTAATGAGCATACAAATGTGCAACCTCATTGTGGCGAATTCGGATGTACAATTTATGTTTGCATGAGAAACTCCGCCTTCAGATCATCCATACATCAATATTAAATCAACAAGCATGACTATAAGTAACAGTCCTAATGTAACGGTATATTTCCACATTGTAACGAATGTAATCTTTTTTAAGAGATGATTATTTTTTTCTGAAACCCAGGCCTAGTGCACCGCGAAGCTTAAACGCTTAAAGTGTGTTTGCACAAGAAAATCTTATATTTGCTGTGTTCCAACACCGTGACGTAGCGCATACACGAGCTGATTATAGTCTTCATTTGCATATCAAAATTCGTATACGAACTTTTGTGTTACCGTGGGGTTTTCCATTTAAAATCCTAATTTATGAACAATATTTGATGAGATTTACAACGATACTGTCAAAAAGGTTAATGAAACTGTAGAATGCTTGAATGCTTGGTTTTTAGGCCGACGGCAAAAATATTTCTACATATTTATTTAATGTAACTTTAAATGTGTGCATAATGTGATGCTGAGATGTTGTTATTATATTATTCAATTATATATATGTCATATTATTCAGAGATATTATTCAGTATGTAACATAACATAAGAGGTTTTGTTTGTTTGTGTTGTGTGTGTGTGTTTTTTTTTCTATCTATGTAGTAGAATCCCTGTCACTTTTATGTAACAATACCTATTTTATTCTTTTGTACATATTAATGTAGTTTCTTTAAATTTTTGTTTAATGTAATGTACTGACATGCTTATTATATTAATCAGTCTGTGATGCATAAGAGCTTTCTTTTGATCGCATTGTTATACAATCTTTTTGATATTCATGAAAGAATACTTGTCATGTGATACATTTACATGCTGTTTTATATTTTTATAAGATGCACTTCTTAAAATATTCTATAACACTTTACTGTGACACTTTACGTAGTATACTAATTATGTATTACCTTCACTTTGAAGAGTATTTAAAAATTAGCATTACTCTTAGCTGCATTGAAACCGAGAGTCCTCTGTTCAGACTTAAACAAGACCAATTAGTGTGTTTTTCTTTTAGGTTTTTCTGTGAACTTCTCTTTTGTATCTCTTAGGGCTAATAATAATAATAAGTGTTAAAAAGGAACAGAAAGATAACATTTCACTCATATGCATTTTTCTACAATGCAATTTATGTAGTTTAATTGTTAGCTAAACGTTATTTTTGTGTAGCTGTTTTTTTCTTGACTAAATTTTTTTTTTAAAAATCAATAAGGATAGTATTTTAACTATTTTTCTTATTTCTGCAAAAGGAACCCTTTCAATATTCATGTTTAAGTTGTCCGTAAATCAAAACCTGTGTGACAAAATATGCTGAAATTGCATACAGGTCTTTTCTAAGTCACAAATTGTTGCAGACTATTTTGCATTAGAATGTAATGTATTATTCTTTAATAAAGAAAATGATGTTGAAAGGCATTGAAAAACAAGACATTATTCTTCCGTATATCTCGTCATCAGCTTATGATATGCAAATTGTTATTGACGATAAGATAATGACAGAGACCCGAAGGACTTATGACTGTTTCATTGAAGCGCGGAAAAAAGACGTACAGAAGATGACGTCAGCCATTTAAACGGCTACGTGAGCACTGCGTAATAAAAAGTAACATAGATATAACGTACTGATATGTGTTTAGTTCGCCGTAAGTACAAAAAAAATTCACACTCGTAGGTCAACGTTTACGATATAGAAAACATCATATATCTATTTTGAATTTGAATATGATTTTTAAAAAAAATTGGAATTTGATTTTGCGTCCTCTATTTTACAGTTAAAATATATTCATTGTATTTGAAAATCTATTCACAATAGACAAAGAAATGCAAAATGTTTGATATATTAACATCTGTTTTGAGAAATAAATCAAAAGAACTCTTTTCAAAACATAAACAATTGAAATTGCTGATTGCGATTGGAAATTACGGTAGTCATTTCACAATTCACAATTATTTTCAGACTAAAGCCAAATGTTTGGTTCCACCATTCCAGAAATAATGTTTAATTATTAGTCAAATAAATTCAACTAACCAGATAACCCATTAAAAGATCCCTTTTCAAGCTTGCAGTACCAGCTTGCCAGATAAAGAAATATGTGTATGTCTAAGCAAGCTAAATAAAATCTGTAAAAGTGTATTAAAACTTCTTATACTTTATATCTAGGCAAGTTATATTTCATTATAATTCATTCTTTCACTAGAACGAAAACCTGGAATTTTCACAAGTTTAAAATGGTTATATTTCAGTCTAAATATATGTTACGGTTATGGGTCTTGAAATGTGGCCCATGATTATGTTCTGTAGTTTCAAGTGAATATCTTCGCTGGTTATTGAGATACTATTTTGTACACAGTTATCCTTTACCAAGCGAAACTCTAAGATAAAGCAAGGCAACATGTATCTTAAAGTTACCTGACTTAGTGACAACTTAGTATGGTTTCAGATGTAGACTGTTAATCATCTGGTTCATCCCTCTAACATGTTGGATTCTTGTCACATTTCCACTTTGCATGACCTATGTAAAATTGTTATTTTTATAAATCAACATGGTAACTTTACTTCTTAATCATGTGATGTCCTTTTGTATAATTATGATAAATGGTCTTATAAATTTCATATTTTATCATAGCCTTGAAAGAATGTTTACATGTTTTTTTTCATAAAATGTATATATAAAGTTAAATACGGTGGTGAACATTGCTCTTAAGTGTTACTAGTATATGTTTGTACATGCATAGTCTCACCTTTATCACATAGAACTGTCAATTGTTGTCCAGGCTCAGAACGTGGCCAAGATATATCCCGAATGCCTCTATTGATGGACACGTGCTTTCGTAGTTTTAAGCATAACAACCCTATAACAAGACCCATAACAATTAACATAACAATGTACCTGTCATGCTTACAATGATTTTTAAAGAAACTCCATTGAGGTGCAAAAGCTTAAAAACATAAAATTGCAAATTCTTACAAATGTGAGCTGGGGCACTTTTAAAAGAAAACTATTCAAGATATAATTAGAAAATATACTTTAAAAAACATTTCTATGCTATTCTTAGTCTGATTTAAGTGAAAAGCATTGCCACACTTTTCAATTTTGGGTCATTTTTTCACAATTAGAATAATCATTCAAAGATGTAGTTCAATCTGTCAATTATTCTCTCTAAATTTTGTGCAATTTGTCAATTATACTGAATTAATGTGATGCTAGCTGTAAGTCAGACTCAATGAATAGGGTGTTTTCTGTCAATCTGTTTCCATAAATTTGTAGCTGCTTGGTAATGGCATTTTGTGAGTAAGTAGCTTTAGTTCTACATCTAAAATAGTAATTACGAATTTTCCTAAATCTTCCATTATCTAACAAAGCAAACCATCATGAAAATATCAATATGGACAAAATGTATTGCACGGAAATGATAAAAGAAATTAAAAAACCGAAGAAACTGATAACTTACTGGGTTTTTATTTCTCAACGAACTGTCAATTTTCCGTTTTCTGCCCTCCACATTCCAATTCTCGCGCGCTATAAAACTTCAAATGACGTTGGACTTGGCATATATCTTTTACAAAAAGCTCGAAGATTTTGACATTAGAACTTGAAAATGGTTTTCCGTAATCATGCATATATTTTACTAACGTTGGAGTGTATTTCTGTCAAATTTCCATTCATATTATTTTCATCCGCATTCAAATATAGTTTGCTTACAGATAAACTATTTTTTGATAATTTCACCATGAAAATGATGAATAAAGAATTTCACTTTTCACATAAAAGCATATAATACATACAATGTATATATCTACATATATCTATAAAGTGGTTGAAATACACTGTTTATCTCAAGGATAATTGTATATATTTACAACAAAGGTTAAAATCATATATTTCTATCAATGGTTGATTGGCAACTTAATAAAACTGTATCTGATTTATTTATATATGCTAAAAGGTGGGATATTTTGACCTTTCCAGCATTAATATGTAAACTTAAAAATATAAATTTGGTTAAAATACCAGTTATTCTGTCTGTTAGAGGCTCTTTGCTAATGGCGATTGTAGTGTATGATCCTCTAGTTGGGTTTGGAGTTTGTTTATCGGTTGAGGCTGAAGTGGCCTTTCCTGTTGTTGTTAAGGTCGTTGAATCAGTCGTCACTAATAGAAATATATACAATAAACTATGTGCCCGATCAAAAAAAAGCAGAAAATATATTGATATTAAATGACATTTTATCATATCTAAAGCTTCAATTTTATAGGTGTCGGTATGATATATAATGTAAAATCAAAAACGGTTGAAATATATTGATCATTTGCCGGATATAATATTTATATATTTACAAAATGAATATCATAAATTGATTATTTGCCTGATATATTTCTACAAAATGATTCTAATATATTTATTATTTGCCTGATACATATCTTCAAAATGATTCTAACATATTGATTAGGGGGCGTCCATGACCAAATGGTTAAGGTCGTTGACTTCAAACCATTTCTCCTCTTCGTTATGGGGTCGAAACCTGACAGAGACTGGATTCTTTCATGTGAGGAAGCTATCCAGCTAGCTTACGGAACGTCAGTGGTTCTACTCAGGTGCCCGTTCGTGCCTGAAATAATGTGCGGAAGGCACCTGAGGTCTTCCTCCACCAGTAAAAGCTGGAACGTCGCCATATGACCTATACTGTGTCGGTGCGATTTAAAACCAAATCAAACAAACAAAAAAATATATAGACTATTTTCCTGATATATATCTACGAAATGATTCTAATATATTGACCATTTGCCTGATATATATCTACGAAATGATTCTTATATATTGATCATTTGCTTGATTTACCGGTATATCTACAAATTGAAATACATTGATAATTTGCCTGAAAAAGAGTATACCTGGTGTTTTAGTATATCAGTGATTCATACAGAAAACGTGTTTTTGTTTGTCAAACGGTAATTACAGTAGAAATAATAACAAATGAAAACTCGTGTCATAATTCTATTAAAGCCAAAACATTCAATATTATTAAACAAATTGCATGTCAGCTAAAAACAAACAACAAAAAAAGATATTGAATGAGTGTACGTTCAATAATGAATTTATTGCACGAGTTGAAAAATATAATTGAATTCAAAGAGTTCAATAAATACAGTAATGAGCTTACACAAATTTAATATTCTGTTTATCATATACCCAAAATAAAGACCGTTTAAAGTGAAAGAAGAGTAATTATTCATTGACGCGCCTGTAATATAATTTTTTGAACTCGTTGAATAAAACAATAGTATGCTCGCCAGAGGCTCGCATAATATGATTTTATTCAACGAGTTCAATAAATTTAGTACATGTATTAAACCTACACTCATCCTCTATTTATATGATTTATTTATATATTGCTAAAAGGTTGAATACTTTTACCTTTTAAACATTTATACGTAAACTTAAAAATATAAATTATGGTACTTCTTGGTCTCAGTTACCTTTAAATTGTTCACATATGTAAGGTTTCTCTAGTTCACATTCCACATTTTCCAGAGTTCCCCTGAAACTATAAAGTCCGCATCTTCCTGTGTGAAAACGACCTTGACCAGCGGCCCATTCACTGAAATATATTGATCAATATTATTTTTCAAACAACTGGGACAGTTGCTAAGAAGTACATATATTTGATTATCCGATCACTTATTCGGAAATTTTCAAAGTCAAAATAGAGAAAATATATGAATCCCTAAAGAAAGCCCAACACGGCAAAATTGAAAATGCTCGGTTTGATTGAGCCTGTTTTTTGGACGGTACCGTCAAGTGCAAACTACCGTCCACGCCATCGGCAAAGTCAAAAATGTTCTGTACATTTATTATATATATGTGTAAAATTAAAAATCCAATCAATTATAAAGCAATGGTGCTAAAGTTTACAGTCAGTATAAAATATAACTACTGAGGAATTAATTATACATATTATATTAACATATAATATTTACATATTAATACATACCTCGACATAAACATATTATATTTACATATAATTTTTAACAGAAAGCAAAATAGAAGTATATCACTTTTTGTATACAATGAATAGAACTGATTTGAATCACAATCTGAATAAAATGACAAAGAAAAGTTAACTTACAAAGTTTATTTGTCTTAAGAATCAAAAGCTCTTAAACATAATCAGACAATTACATAATAAATTAAATACACTTTTCATATAATGCAATTATCTACAAATAAATAATTATAATTAAATGAAAGTAAAGATACAGGAAAAAAATAGCAAAAAAGGCATTAACAAAAACAATGTCTTATTTCATATATAACATAAACCTTAAAAAGGCTTTGTGTAAAATGGAAGATTTATTATATCAAGAGCATGTCTCGTAAGTATTGTTTTGTATGTTTAATTCAAATTTTCTATAAATTTGCTTGGATTTTCGTAAGAATATTTCTTTCTTTTTTTTTGCATGTCTGCTAATTGTCATATTTTCTACGTTTCAGAATAAAATGGAACCCTTCTTCTATGTCAATGATATCGCAATGTCCCTTTTCTCGGAATTTGCTTTTCTGATTTTCTTTACATTTTCAGTCAATAAATCTTTTTGACTTAGTCGTATTTAGCGATTTTGAGTCTGCATTTTTAAAATATTCAAAATAATAAACCTAACCAGCGTTTCATGGAAAAATCAAGTACAAGGTCTATTCAAAATATGAAATACTAAGAAAGAGAAATATTAACTTCTTTTTCATGTTTCTTCTTTGAAAAGTTTACTCTTGTATAAATTTTTTCTGTGTTTTTTTACATCCTACTTTAGTTTTGATAAGTTATTGTAAACAATGTAACACATTAAAAATAATGCATTTTATAACCATTAAGTGTAGAAATCTGTATAAATATATCAATTGAAACGAATGAACGGTATGTTTGCATATTGCTCGTCATTATCCACCCACAGCCAGGAGTGCCCAACTTCACGTATTCCAATCCACCAATAGAGTAAGTCCCTACTACGCACATGTCTCCTCACTAAAGGTTTCAACTTTCTCTGAAATACATCGAGTAAAAAGAAAATAGCATACACAAAAGGCACTTATTTTGTACATAGATAAGTCATATGAACCATGTGTGGATGATGATTTAAAAAATATGTAAAATTTCAAGTAAATTGTTTTAAAGTTAAACATTACTTATGATGAAAATATTCTATGATCACAGGAGAGAGTATTATTAAAGTTTATTGCGGGTCAAATTTTATCTTGTCGTATGGACTGACGCTTCTTCGTGACTGAGCTATTGCAAGCAATGTTTGCTTTTATAACGGTGCAAAAGCAGAAAAAAAACTGATAATGCATATACAAAACACTAAAAACATGCCATATGATCATGATTATACAAAAACACAATATGATAACAGAGCAGGTGAAATGCATTTGTTTTTTTATCAAGAGAGTTATTTGAAAATATATACAAATTCTAATATTACAATGTAAACTGGCAACTTCATAGGACATTATATACCATATTTTACCTAGTGATTCTAACCATCCAATTGACCCTATCAAAGCGAAGGACAGATGCTTAACCAGCTGAAAAACTTACTTTATAATTTCCTTTTATATCCTCTAAGAGATAAAATAGACTTCTAACCTTTATCATAAAAAATACACTTAATAAATTTAATGCAATACCCAGTAACTGTGCAAACATAAGGGAACAATCGGAAATTAAACATTAATTAATATTATAAACACTTACATTTTCCTCTTTGTCGTTAACACTGAGAATGTCAGCATTCATACTAATACAGGAATCGCGAGCTTTTTGCCAAGTTAAAAATGGCTTCGCTTTCATGAACTGTACACATGTCCTGTGGAGCTTTTCCCATGGTAGGTCGCACTTTGGTCCTTCAGTGTCTGCAGAAACTGCAAATATATATACATGTGTATTCGGATTTCATTCATTTAGGTAGACTTTAACCTGTCATATCTATACATGTATGTATATGATATTTGCTAGATCATTGGACACATTTTTGAATAGCTAAAACTCTACCAACAAAGAAAAACGAAAATGTAGCATTCGTGTTCATGCTAGAAACGAACCTGAAAGGGTTACTTTTAAAATAAATTTAAAATTTATTATTATAAACTTATTTATTGAACATGAAAATTAAAAAATTCTTGATCAACCACTCTCCAACAATTCATCTTCCACAATGAGTTGATATGATAAAGCAAAGGCCATGTAAAAAAGCTATAAATCACATTGAATTCGTTAAGCGTTATAGTTGTTTATAAAATATTTTGTGCAATTAAATACCTTAAACGTAACAAATCTGTTGGCTCAGACTGTATTTTAAACGAGTGTTTCATAGAATGTAGTGATTTATTGGCGACGCCGTTGAACGGTGTCATCTCTTGTGGTATGTCTTTTTGTGGCACATGGTAGAAGCTGTTATTATTAACAGTTTATGTCATAGTTTTATTTTGATTCTTAAAAATCAAGTAAACAAATAATTATGTTGTTATATTTGTATTTAATTATATATTATGAATTCAGATTTTTTTTCCCGTGAAATGGATTCCGAATATTATAACATTGTAACATTTGTAATAGTTATAGCTATTGTACAGTTCCACAGTGTATAGCTTGTAAAACGCAGGGATGTGAAAATAACCTAAGAATTGCGCAAAGGTCAAGCCGTATCTGTGCAAAGCTATGCAACACAAGAACTAAACAAACCAAAATATTTTACAGTAAATCAAATTAAAAGATATACACACGACTGGCATGACATTATGTTGGTCGTAGAATTTTGTTTTATTATGTTGGTACTGTTATTTATTATATAAGTAGTTTTATACTGAACCAAGAACATTTGGCTGTCAAAGCACTTAAAGCTTTGAATAGCATTCTTTGTCAATTGTTTGATGCCTTTGTTTGTTAAATTTTAAGTTATGCTTCTGAGATATGGGGTTCTACAAGTCTTATTAAGTTATAAGTCAAAAATATTAAAACGAATTCAATTGAAGCTTTGCAATGGGTACAAGTTAAATAAAAGTATTTAGTGATTGTGTTATTCGGCTGTGTAGGAAGCTATAGGCTTATGGACATACTCTCGAATTCTTTCCTGTAACCAACAATAATTTTCGTCCTGAAGGAAAAAACGACTTGCTCTTGATAGGGTTTGAACCCGCGCAGCTAGAAATCCTGAGATTGCTAGCCACGCCTCCACACAAAGTTTGATCGTCTGTCTATAATATGACTGTTGATTAATAAATGTAATATTTAACGGCCGTAATGATTGGCATTCTCACGTTATAGTAAGAGGCTGTAAGATAATAATGGATTCTCAAATGTCTAATAAGATATTTTCTTTGTTATGTTGTTTATATTTCCTGAAACAAAATTCGCTTAAATAACTAACTGTTGGACACAACCTGGAAAAATCTCTCAACTTTTATTCAGAACTAGGTATGGCATGCGTTTAACACAAACAACAAGCATAATGCAACAACATGGCAAAGATGAATATAATCTGGTAAAGTGTACAGTATAGTATAGTATTTAGTCTATATATAGCGTATAAAAAGATCAGATTGAGTCTTTTATATCACAAAATTTTGTTCTCAAATTGGCGAGGTCAATGTCATTCATGAGCCAGAGTCAAATTCAGTTTAGTCTTTTGGAAGATCTTGTCCGAAAGGCTGTTGACAAAGGCCTATGTCATTTAGAAAATTGTGTTTAAACCCAATCTGGTCTACTTGAAAATATAGTCAAATGGATTCTCTCGTCTTGGTATGAAAGCAATCCATTGTGGAATGATATGATCAGCGTTTAAGCTGTCGGACGCAGACGTCAACGACACATGACTGTCGCATTAAGGTAGAACGCGACAAATAATGGTAGCGAAATTTCAGAGCCTAATGCTGTTAATTGTAATTGCCTAAGTAGTCCACTTTTTTGAAGCGGTTAAGTCAAATAAACATTGAATTGACTATCAGTGTTGCAATTAGTCTTATAGCCAATTTACTACAGTTAAAACACAGTTAAGACCCAAACAAATTCAGCGCCCTCTGAGCTTTGATTTGTTAATGCTACTACACACAAAAGAGTAGTATTACTTCATTCGTCGTACAAAGAATGATTCGATGAACGGGATTTCATTCATGTGGCGAAATGCGTATTTTGTTTTTTCGATAGATTTTTTAAAATCAAATCATATCATATTAGCTATTATGAATAGAATGAGAAAGTTTATGTTTTTACAATATTTCTTTAAAAAAATGGATCATAAACGTCTTAAGACTTAATTTGCATAAAATACTCCCTTTTGAATCTAATCTTAATTTTAAATCAAAATATGTACGTTTTTTGTCTGTTTTTTTTTTACCATGTCTCCAACTTATGTGGTTTTGTTTATTTTGTGATTATTTTGTGTGTTCTTTTTAATTTTGTGTCTTTTTTAATTGTCTCCCATTTCAAGAATTTCTCTAGAAAGTAACGGGAAAACAACAAATCTTCATAAATCAACATGATATAACGCTGAATTCTGAATATATTGTTTATGGCATTTCCGCTCGTCTGCTGAAATTGACAGGCCTTTGTCCCACGATAA